AGGTTGCGTGTGGTTTGTCCCACATATATTAAATTGCAGTTGTTGCAAGGGATTTGGTAGACAACGTTGGAACAATCTTTGATGTTACTTTTATCTTTAACCTTAGAATATATGGATCTTACCGTTAATGATGTTTTATAAGCTATTTTCAAATTGGTGAAATCTTTAAAAAGTCTTGTTAGTCTGGGTGTTATGCTTTTGATGTATTTCAGTGAGGTATATGAGCAATTGGTATTATGTTCTCCATTTGTGGCATTGATTTGTATCTCATCATTTCGGCGTGTTATGTTAGGGGTCAAACTAAATAGAATTTTGGTGACTAAAGGTTTTGGATATGAATTGTCCATAAACAGGTTGAACAGGATTTTTAGGTTCTTCTGGTGGAAAGAAGGGTCACTGATGGAAATGATTCTAGCCTTCATTTGTTTAAGTAGGTTGATTTTTATTGAATGTCTATGGTATGACCAATAGTTGAGGAAGCGTCCAGAACTATGAGGTTTTCTATGCCAGTCGATAACAAGGGAGTTATTTGGGGTTCTAATGAACCGGGTGTCAAGAAAGGGGACTGAGCATAGATCGTCCTCATGTTCGATTGTGAACTGTAGTAGAGGATCATACCTATTAAATACATTTAAAATTTCTGTGGATCCATTACTGGGGATAGCTAGGATTAAGTCATCCACATACTTTTTTACAAAAGGAATATGAAAGGACAATTCTGGGATAACCATATCTAATAGATGATCCATCACATAGCAGGCCAAAATGGGTGAGATAGTAGCTCCCATAGGAGTTCCTTGTGTTTGTTTAAACACAGTATTATTGAATGTGAAATAGGTGTTATTAAACAGAAAAGATATGAGTTTTTTTGAAGTACTCCAAGTTGATATTACAGTGAGAACTGATAAAATTCCAATTGTTTTCAATAGCTGTTAAAGCTGCATCTAAGTGAACATTGGTGAATAATGAAACTACATCCAGACTGACAATCACATAGCCATCCGGTAATTGATAGTTGTTAAAGTTATTGAAAACATCAAACGAGTTTTTTATGTAATATTCATTTGACACATATGCATTGGATAAGATTTCAGTTAAAAAAGATGCTAATAAGTTGGTGGGGGCACCAATACATGCAACAATGGGACGAACTGCAAGCTGTGGTTTGTGAATTTTGGGCAGAGCGTAAAATTTAGGTATAACACCCTTGTAGCTAGTTAGTTTTTTCTTTGTAGCTTCATCTATCTGCCTTGAGTTACACAATTCCTTAATGAGGTTGTTACATCTGGTTTGAACATTGTTGGTTGGATCTCTGTTCAACCTTTCATAAACATTATCGGAATTTAGCAATTCAAGACATAGATCTAGATATCTCTGCTTTTCCAGAACTACAGTTACATTACATTTGTCTGAAGGCATGACAATAATGTTAGTGTTTTCACTAAGAAACTTGCGAGTTTTTTTGTAACATAGCTCTGAAAAAGTTAAAGTTATTTTTGTTACTGTTTTTTATGTAAGTAATCAGTAATAATGTATGTTGACCTAGCTATAAGTATGTCCCTCTGATGCACATCAGTGACTGAATGTAAGATTGTTTCAACGTCAGCTAACATATCCTTAATAGGGATATCTTTCCCTAAGATTGGTTCTATGCTGAACTTAGGACCCAAAGACAAAAATCTAGAGATATCATCTGGTAAAGTTACATTGGAAAGGTTCTTAATCCAACCCGGTTTTGTCTTAAGTTTTAAGTTCAGCTCAAGATTGAATAGCCTATTATATTTGTTAGTGTTGCTTAATTTGGTTTTGTGAAAAATTCTGTTATATGATACTTGTTGTTTACTAGAAAAGTTATTAAAAATGAATTCAGAAGTTAGTTCAATGATGTTTCTTTTTGATTTATTTAAGTTGGACTCTAAACTGTTAATGACTTTAATACAATTAGAAATTTCTAAGTTCAAGATTCTGTTTTCTAATCTGGTAAATTGTAAAGTGTCCTTGTTCGACTGGATGTCCTGTCTTTGCAACAATTTAGTGATGGATGAAGTGGAATGTGTAATGTGTGAAGGTGTGATGTTGGATGATCTACAGCGTAATAGAAAACACCTCTTGTTGTATTCTCTTGCAAGTTTATGTTTGGTCTTAGCCCAATCTTTGAGTGCTCGTACTGCGAGGTCACCATAGCGATATGCGATGTCTCGATAGAATCCCATGCCTTAAAAAAGAAAAGGAAAAGAAGTCTTTGCTGACAACGTTAGAAAACGGAGCTTTGAGGTTTATTGGGATTTATTCAGCGGTGAAATAAGTGTACTCTTTTAACTAAGTTTCAAGCTTTCGAAAATGTGTATTTTCATCATCAGGAAAAACTGAAAATAAAGTGCGACTGTTAGTAAATCATCCTCGAAATTAGTTGTAGAAAATGGTTTTATTTAAAAAACGATAAAAACTTACGTTATTGAGGTTCGTCTTTCGTGGATGTTTCACTTACAGGTGACAATATTACGCACCACTCATTGATTGAGTCAAATTTTAAAATATTAAACACATATAAAACTTTCATGGTGTATAAGACCACTTAATAAATTATTATATTTTTAACACATAAGAAAAAGACAGTTAAAAAAGTTTTCAACGGCCACGTGTGCCGGCCAACTGTTGAATGAAAGGTTAAGAGTAACTGTCATTCCTGGACATGGCAAATGACAGTACTTCTTCTTATTTCTTTGTCTTATGTGGTACTACTGTTGTTACACATCAAATTATTGACAAAGGTAGTATTGGAAAAAACACAGAATTTAATAAAGAAACTGTGAAAAATATAACGAAACCTGGAAACTTTACAATGAATCAGTCATTGAAACATCATTGAAATGTGATGATCCATCCAAATATAATAGGTAGGAGTATATAGTGCTCAATTGATTAATGTCACTCCTTTTGTTCATTGCATTTGAGTTTTGTGCAATGAATGCCATTTCTAAAAAGAGTCTTTTATTGTAATTGGACTCCGTAGCTAAAATTTTAACTGCATCGTAATTCATAATATGATGTTTCTTTATTTACATGTTCTGCCAGTGCAGATCTTTCTGGGTATAGTCTACTGTCGCTACGATGACTGATTAGGCGACTGCCTAGGTTGCGTGTGGTTTGTCCCACATATATTAAATTGCAGTTGTTGCAAGGGATTTGGTAGACAACGTTGGAACAATCTTTGATGTTACTTTTATCTTTAACCTTAGAATATATGGATCTTACCGTTAATGATGTTTTATAAGCTATTTTCAAATTGGTGAAATCTTTAAAAAGTCTTGTTAGTCTGGGTGTTATGCTTTTGATGTATTTCAGTGAGGTATATGAGCAATTGGTATTATGTTCTCCATTTGTGGCATTGATTTGTATCTCATCATTTCGGCGTGTTATGTTAGGGGTCAAACTAAATAGAATTTTGGTGACTAAGGGTTTTGGATATGAATTGTCCATAAACAGGTTGAACAGGATTTTTTAGGTTCTTCTGGTGGAAAGAAGGGTCACTGATGGAAATGATTCTAGCCTTCATTTGTTTAAGTAGGTTGATTTTTATTGAATGTCTATGGTATGACCAATAGTTGAGGAAGCGTCCAGAACTATGAGGTTTTCTATGCCAGTCGATAACAAGGGAGTTATTTGGGGTTCTAATGAACCGGGTGTCAAGAAAGGGGACTGAGCATAGATCGTCCTCATGTTCGATTGTGAACTGTAGTAGAGGATCATACTTATTAAATACATTTAAAATTTATGTGGATCCATTACTGGGGATAGCTAGGATTAAGTCATCCACATACTTTTTTACAAAAGGAATATGAAAGGACAATTCTGGGATAACCATATCTAATAGATGATCCATTACATAGCAGGCCAAAATGGGTGAGATAGTAGCTCCCATAGGAGTTCCTTGTGTTTGTTTAAACACAGTATTATTGAATGTGAAATAGGTGTTATTAAACAGAAAAGATATGAGTTTTTTTGAAGTACTCCAAGTTGATATTACAGTGAGAACTGATAAAATTCCAATTGTTTTCAATAGCTGTTAAAGCTGCATCTAAGTGAACATTGGTGAATAATGAAACTACATCCAGACTGACAATCACATAGCCATCCGGTAATTGATAGTTGTTAAAATTATTGAAAACATCAAACGAGTTTTTTATGTAATATTCATTTGACACATATGCATTGGATAAGATGCACCATTCGTCAAAATGAGCTTCAAATTCCTGTAATTTCTTGCTCATACGCTGGAATCTACTTCGCAGCTAAACTTTGTATACTTGCTGCAGATGGCATCTCTAGAGCAAATATTAGATGAGATCTTGTAACATTTTTCACCAGGAGGTGGCACTTAAATATAAAGTTTAAATATATTTTTTTATATTGACATAGATTTTTGCAAGTATTTGCAAGCCTTATTTAAATTTGGAATGGATTATTAAATAGAATTAAAAATAGATTACAAAAGCAACTAACTGAGAGAAGTTGCCAAACAATCTTGATAATGGAAATGGAAATTTATAGGTCATCATACTGTTAAAAAAAATAATAAAAGATTAAATACCTAAATGATATTTTGGCCACACAAATAAAGAGAAGGAAAAGAAAATTAGATAAAATTAAATATAAAAAAACATGCTATATTGAAATGGATGACAACAGCACTGGACCAGTAGAGAAGAAAAAGGAAGGTCTGATAGATACTATTGTATATTGATGTCTTCCTTCGATAATGTTTTTATAACATATCATTTTCACATGTTTATCATTTTAATTTGTTTGTTTTATATTTGTATTGATATTATACATGTTAAGATATAATTTTCTCATAAAGATATTTTCCCAATGTAGTAAGATATTAGTATAATCTAATAAGATCGTCCCTTTTAGACAAATATTAGTAGTATTTCTCACTATATCTAAATATGTATCTGCAAGTTTATTTTTAATATGTATACAATTATTTCTTTTAGATTGACGAATTAAGTAAATTTAAGCAAATCCATCCCACTACCAATCAAAAGGTGTTAAACGCTTATAATGTTATATATAACGGACTAGTAGCATATCAGAATCATCTTCCGACCTCTATAGGTGCATGTTCTTCCGATAAACTTAAACTACTGCTTAAACACCTTATGGATCTTTGTGATATTCATTTTAAACTTGTACCAAAAGAAGACGAAAATGGTTACTGCGATATTATACAGGTAAGTTGATTACTTAGAAATGATGAAAAGGTTGCCAATGTGAGTCCATAACAGTAGTGCAGAAATTTCTGTAAGAAATGTATCCAAGTGTTGCTACGCCACTACTACCAATTAACTTATTCTTCTTGAAATCTACCCACGTAAATTTTTCAGCAAATTCTAATGAAAGCCGATAATATATTCAAAAGATATTTTTACCCACAGATTAACTTTCTCCGACCAATTTCCAAAATTTCACTGTTAGAAATAATTCAAAGGGTGGTTTTTACCTACCTCTGTATAGAAATCTCGAAGTTGTCCCCCGCAAATTCCTTGGCAATAATTAGGCCACCGTTAGGTATTGCAATCAGAATTTTAATTATGAAGTATCGTTGTAGTACGAGTTGCGTTCGTAGTACGAGTTTATTGGACGATAGTTCTATTCGATTATTTCGTTGCTTAAACTTTTAGTTCATTGCTGTAAGATAATTTTTGTAAATATTTCATAATTTAGGGTTTATTATTTTTTATTTGCTTGCTTGAATTTGTGTGTATATGAAAACGCATGTATTGCTGTTCTATATTTTTTAATATTGGAATATATGTATGTGTGGTGATGGGTAAATAATTGTCAATAATTATACTAGTTAAGAGTATCATAATATACGGTAATATACCTACATAAAAGTATCATACCAAAACAACACAATAAAAGTAAAAGTAGTGGAAGAAGTCAGCAATCTCCGCTATGCTGACGACACTTTAGTACTAGCATCATCAGTAAATGATCTTGAATAGATCATAAACAAACTAGATATAATTATAATTATATTATATTATTATAATTTATACTATTAGTCGTGAATATAATGTACAGAACATCAAGGTAATGATAATCGATCAAATTAGAAATAACCAGCCAGAAATACGAAACGTAGCGGGGTTTAAAGTGGTAAGCCGTTTCAATTACTTAGGTTTTGTTATCACGTACGGACGCGTATCTATCCTATCACTACCTATGCGTCAGAAACTTGGACCATTAAAAAGTGCGACTCACGACGTATAACGGCCTTTAAAATGTGGGTATATCGTAGAATGATGCGCATACACTGGACAGTACATCGCACAAATGTCTCAATATCGACAAAACTCGACAGCAATACTAAGCTTACCACAATCATCAACCAAAATATATTGAGGTAATTTGGACAGATTACCAGACGAATGGAAGGCATGGAAAGGTTGGTGGTTGAAGCCAAGGTAGATGGTAAAAGAACTCGATGAAGATCGCCACTTCGATGGTTAGACCAAATAAAGTGCGCTACCGGTTACTCTCTGTCTGAGGCAGCACACCGCGCCCAGGAGAGAGAAGAATTGATAGCAACCATTCGTCGAATACAATAACGTCACCTCATCCTAACGAAGAATAAAGGATAGAGGAGGAGGAGAAGTAGAACTAACCGACTGTATTAATGTTGGCAATGGAGTAAGACAGGTAGATTCCCTGAGGTCTCTATTGTTCAACCTGATTATGGATGAAATAATAAAAAAGTAAGAACTAAAAATGGATACCAAATGGGAGAAAAACAACTTAAATATCAAAGCTATGAAGCTTCTGCTATGTAGACGACACAATACTACTCTCTCAAAGTGAAGATTATTTACAAATTTTACTAAGATTTAAATTGGAACTGGAAGGTCAGATAATAGAATAAATAATGGAGTTTAAATATCTAGGCATTACATTATCTAGCTACGGAAAACTCAAAACTGAAGTGGAAGATCAAGTGAATAGAGTAAACAGAGTCACAGGCTGCCTAAATAAAACAATATGGAGAAATAAAAATATCGGGAAAGAAACGAAAGGCAGAATTTACAAAACAGTCATTAGACCCATAATGACATACGCTGCAGAAACAAGACCTGATACAGAGAGGACAAAAAGGATATTAGAAACAGCAGAGATGAAAACACTTAGAAAAATTCATGGTAAGACACTATGGTGTCACCTCGGGGTAAATGGAAAGGGTCTTGCCACCTTCTGTACCACCGTGTGATCCTCCCTCCTCTGGAGACTCTGTGGCCGGAAAAAATTATATTGAATATCAAATTGTGTATACAATGATAAGGAAAATACATAAAAATGCATGAAATATATTAAAGAAAAAATACATGAAAATGTAAATAACGTAAAAAATTGTCTTTGGAAAAACTCACAACACAGCGCTAATAGGGAGAGTCGGTGGTGTTGACGGCATCTCCGGCTCCTACAGGTCCATTCTTGATCGGTGTACCAACTTCTTCGACGGGTTCGTCTTCTTCTCGGTCGTCCGGATCCCATCTGCCATATCCGACGGGGTTTCGTAGGGTACCAGTGTGCCGAAGCCTACGTGGTCGTCCAACACTTTCGGTAGGGGGCGATGACTGGGTCTACTCCGGGACTTTCATCGGCATCTGGGGCTTCTAACTTCGAAGAAGACTGGCTCGTCAAAGGCGCCTGCACGTCGAAGGCATCCGGTCTGCAGAAGGCCTCGATGTCGGAGTGTTAGCTAACACTCCGTGGTTCTCCCCATTCTTCTCTTCTCTTGACAACCCATGTTGAAATCAATGGTGTGCTGCCTTCTGCTGCGAGTTGAGCTGGGTCGTGGGATCGGAATAATCCATTTTGTTGGGCGCCATGTCACCTCGGGGTAAATGGAAAGGGTCTTGCCACCTTCTGTACCACCGTGTGCTCTGTAGAGGGGCTTCGAAAACATCGTGAGCTCCTCTACTTTTGTCCATTTTCAGGGTATGGACTTCAAAATGTTTTGTTTCCTGATGGCTCGTCTTAATAAAGACGAGAGATTTCTTACATGACAAATATCTTACATGATAGTTGTCGAAATAAACATCAGGTTTGTTGTCTTCGATGTCTTGCCTTGAAAAAGGCAAGTTATTTCTTACATGACCAAATATATATAGGTCGAAATAAAACACCAAAAATACAGTAGAAATAATACTCAGCCACAGAGTATGGAAAGCTAAAAGGAAAGCAGAGCCCCGAGAGCACTAAGCTCTCGGAGAGCCCGTGAAGGACTGACTGATTGACCTGAAAATCGCCTAATTTTATACTTTCTGAAGTAGCGATTAGGGATTTCCAGGTCAGGGAGGGGCCAACGGGAAAAATAAGGGGCGGGGCGATGCGTCTCGAACGTGAACTAGTCGCGTCCGAGAACAATGGGACAGAGCTAGAAGAACGGCAAGAGACGGTTCCTCAATAGGAAGACGAGAAGTAGGAAGACCACGAAAACGATGGAATGACAACTTACTGGAGACACATTGAAAAACAGACAGAGTCATGTCTATATAAAAAAGAAGAAGAAGAGTATCATAAGACTGAAAGCTATCTAGTCACAGTCAACAGAGTCCTACATTTCAATGAGTCTTATTCCACACACATCTAAGGTATCTGACATTGATTTATATCATTTAGAAAAAAGACTATATATTAGAAATCAATACTAGTTATAGATTTAGGATAAGATTGTATAGGAAACAATGACTAATGAAAAAATGAGTACAAATTGTCCAATACAAGACTGGCGAATGGATTTAGTGTCCGCAGTCATTTAAACACAAACAAACAACAACAACAACAGCTTTACTATATCTTTAATATAATATTTTATCAATAGAGGGGTATTTATATTTATTTTAATAAAACTAAGGAATTTTCTTCCTATATTGTAGTGAGGCTTTAAATACTTTAAAGTGTTTTAATGAAAATATTAATGTAAAATAAACAATAAAATAAAATATAACTAAACTTTTGTCTGCCATCTATTTATTAATTCTAAGCTGGTACTTATAGTAATTTTTAAATAAAAAGGTGTTTTAGTATTCTAAAAAATTCTTAAGCAACTGAAATATTTGTTTTAGAATTTTAAACAAAATGCTGAAGTTACTCTTCAGAAAGTCGAAGATAGGTTCACAAAATACAAAGAAATTATTTCTATTCCACCTAGTACTCCACAATTTCATCCTGAGCACAAACCAAATCGAATTATCAAGAGAAATAAAAATAATTTAGAAGACAGACTATATATGTATTCCACATCATCAAAAACGGTTGAAGCGTTTGGCAAAAAGAGGTACGTATCACATATTTCAGGTCATAATAAAAGCTATAATACACGTATGGAAAACAATCAATATGGTTATATTCCTAACTAACTGGTTAAGATATATCATACGATATTTACAAGGAGAATGACAGAGAAATTTTTATAACGATTTAAATGAATTATCTTTTGTTTTAATAGCAGGTAATGCGATACCGTTAATCTATAGAAATTGTAGAGTAAATTAAAGATATTCTGTTTTTTTTTTGTTCCTAAAAACAGGTAAGGAACACTTTTAATAAGTATAAAATTGTTTACTTACCTTATTCCTTCTGAGAAATAGAAATAAGTGTTTATTTCCAATTTGTTTAGATTATTAATTAAATTAAATTAAAAATTAAACATTGATCTAAATCAAATCTAAATAATCTAAATTATTTCCTATTTCTGAATAGAAATTTTATTACGTTTTGATCTCGTTCGTTTTCTCTCCACACTCCACTTATTCATCAATGTTTTATTTCATATTTCTCGCCTCTTCTCTTAAGCAGGGTTTATACTTCTACGATATTTTTTGTTACAGTTCTATTTCCACCACCTTACTTACGATTTTCCATATTTACTACCATTCCGTTCTAATACGAGTACATCGTTTTTATAATAAATTTGGAATAGTATCTTACAATCTTGGAATACTAACAAGTAACAGTACACACCTAATAAGGAAGGAGTTTTGTACCCAGGAAGATTGCAAATGTATTACACCCAACAAATTAAGTGGAGAACTAACGGCAAAGAAAATAAGTGTAGGTTACAAATTATGGTAACACTAAATTAAGTTCTACGCCAGGTGTTGGAAAAAAACTGAGAATTCAACCGCGATGTACACCAAATCTTCGTGGACTTTAATTTAACAAGCTTACGATTCTGTTAGCAGAGAAGCATTGTGAGAAACCATGGTAGAAATGGGAGTACCTGGAAAGCTGGTACGATATGCGGTAAGGAAAGTTCAACCACAACTGACAAACGGATTTGCCGCCCAAGAATCGAAAATACTATTGGCGTTTGCGGATGACGTGGACACAATTGCACAATCCACCAGAGATGCAAAAGAAGTTTTCACCCTATTCTAAAACGGAGCCAAGGAAGTTGGTCTGAAGGTCAACGAGGATAAGACCAAGTACATGGTGGTTACGAAGAACCAAGGCCAAGGGTTAGACAAAACGTAACAATCAATGAATACAACTTTGCAGTTTTCCATTTTATATACCTCTCGTCATAATATTAGGTTTAACGAAATTTTTTGGGAATATTTAAAAAGGACTAAAAGAGAAATTTAGGATGGAATGTGAAATGTGAATGTATAAATCTAGCTTTGTTTCCTCTGTCTATCCTTATGTTATATGGTTACCTTTTAACCGTTGCCTGTCTTGTGTTGTAATAAAGTCGCTATGAAAGGCACCTTAGCGTGAAAAGTATCCCTATATTATATGATCCCTTGTGGGTCCTAAATATTGTTGGTTAGGGAATTGAATGGAACTAATGAATGTATGGTTTTTTATCAAGCTACTGATTCTTGTGATACTGATGTTTACATTATATTTTTAATTTACCTCTATGCGAAGTACTATTTTGTTAAGAAATGCAATAGTTAAATACATCATTACCAAATTCAAGTAGTCAAATACATTATCGTGGCTGAATGGATCAAGTTATCCAAAGCCATTAATTAAATAAAAAAAACTTTGAAGTCGTCAAAGAATTCAATAACCTGGGATCGATTATAACATCTGAAAATAACTATGAAAATGACGTGGCAGCCAGGATCATTGCAGGAAACAGGGCATATTACTTATTAATGACCGTACTTAAATCAAAAATGCTCTTAATACCAGCAAACATAAGAGTGTATAAGACAATAATTCGTCCCCCAATAACACATAGAAGCGAGACATGGACTCTGAACTAGCGGAAAACGACAAAATTACTGGCACTGGAAAGAAAGATACTGCGGTACTGCTATCTATGGTCCTTGCAGAGAAGAGATAACAGGAGAATGGAGAAGAAGACACGATGATGAACTCCAAACAGTATATGGAGATGGAAATATATTACGCTACATTAAAGCAAACTGAATAAGATGGACGGGCCACGTAATAAGATCGAGTAACGAAAGACTCCTGAATGCCACATTCTGGGAAAGACCCGATAGCAGAAGGTCAGTTGGTCGCCCAAGAAAGAGATGGAAGGACGCAGTAGCCAGTGATCTGCACAAAATGGGAATACAGCAATGGGAAATAGCTGCTCAGGAGCGACAACAATGGAGGAAAATAGTAAACGCGGCCAAGACTCACCTAGAGTTGTAGAGCCAAATGATGATGATTACTAAATTAAGCTGCAATTAAGTTCCGTATTAGCATTTAAGTAAAGCAGACGCGTGAACAATTAACGAGCAACGTTTTTGAACAAAACGCTAGCTCATTAGTAAAATTATTATAGTAAAGGTTTTAATAACACATATAATAGTAATGGTTTATCACAGGCTTCGTTGGGGTAGGATGCGTTGTCCAATACAAGCACGGTTTTCTCGTGCAAGTTGGGAATTAGGCACAAGTTTTCGTAGTTTATATCCTTGTGATGATCTCCAGTACGCTGACCAGATTTGAACATTAGAAGACAATTTTTAACAAAACTTTTTTCCCTCTTACATGTACAATAATTAACCTTTTACCTTTAGAAACAAAAACCTTTAAACAGTTGTTTAAACCATCATCTTCTGATTTAGATGTAATGACTGCTGTGGAGATCAGTATAGATAATAACAGAACCTTCTATATATATGTTTCTATTTTTCTTAGATAGTCTGTTTTTTTTTTGGCTCGAACATCCGTTTTTTCCATCAGTATTATTCTGTTGTCCTTGGTTTTTTGCCATTTAAAACCTGATTTCTTCATCATTTTTCTGAACGACACTAACTAATTTCCTTGAAAATTAATATCATCCTTAACAGCATTGTAAACAGATGACATTGTAGGTTGCAAAGATAACTGTGTTTCTTATAATTTCTTTCTCATAAAGATCGACGTTTGTATTTTGTTTTAGTTGATTGATTTTTTTCTGGGAGTTTTAAAGCTTACTCGCGAGCTGCCTGAAGGAGAATGACATCATAGGAATATTAAAGAGAGTTTTACACAGAATTTTCTTTTGGGCTTTATAACTTTTTTTTTCTATTCATTTTACTAAAAGTAATTTTCTACAGTTGCTGCAGGGAAACTATGGAAGTATGTGTGGTTACCGAAAAGCAGGCCACCAAAAGCTCTGCAGTGTGTCCCAATTGTTCTGGTGAAACCTGCAGCAACATCATGGACATATTAAAATTAATGAAAAAATTCGAAGAAGTCTAAGAAGAATTACTCGACATGACGAAAAATTCCTGTACTTGCGCAAACATTCACCTTCGATACTAAATTAGATCCTGACCGCAGTCTGGACCATCAAAATTATGTTCAATATCATCTCACCTGGAAATTGTCCGTGGATTAGACATAATGGAGATATCACTTAAAAAAATGCGCCTCCAGATTCTATCGCGTAAGTGGTCTGCAAAAAAGATCGATAATAAACTAATAATATCAAAGGAATGTAAATAAAATAATAAATTATATGAATAGAAAAATATATAATAGAAAACTAAGCCGCTTGGTACGTTTTTATCGCATTCTAACGAGTATTCAAGAACTCGGTCAACTTTGAAGTGCTGTAAAATCAAGAGAAAGTAATGAAATTAAACAACTTTTTTAATAAAAATTATACTTTTAAATCCATAATATTACTCAAATACTATTTTATTGTAAGATGACAAGAAAAAAACGTTATAATACCGAAATAAAATGTTTTCAAAAATTTTTATTTTTTTTTATTCAAGCATAACTTTTTATTTTCTACTAGCTACCTACTTTACTAATATTTTACTTAAATGTTTAATATCTGATTTTTCGTTGATACAATTATCACACTCTGGTATGAAAGCCATCTCTATAAATATTCTGTTATTATGTGACTATTATTATTATGTACATGTGTGGAAAGATTATATATATATATATATATATATATTATATATATTATATATATATATATATATATATATATATATGTATATAAGAGTAAGAAAAAAGAAGTACTTGTAACTCGTTTGGAAAAAATTTTTAAATATGTTTTTGATGGGTTGGAGTCAATAAAAGGGGCTATTGGTTAGTTTCAGTTTCTGTTTCTGTCTGTCATTTAATTCTGTTTCAATTGTCAAATACAACTTTGAGACAGAATTAAATATAATTAAGCAAATAGCAGTAAACAACGGATACAATGAACAAACAATTAATAAAATGTTAAACAAAAACTACACAAGAAAGCCCTGAAATTAGTATTTCCACCACCAGAGAAAAAACCCAGTACCTTCTGTTCGATTACATATACAGGCAAAATTACAACAAAAATAGCCAAACACATAAAAAAGAAAGGAATAACACCAGCTTTCCGAACAAATAACAACCTAGGCAAATATATCAAAAACAACAAGAGCCAAAATAAAAAATACTTACATAGTGGTGTGTACAAACTTAAATGTGGCGACTGCCCAAAAACTTACATCAGTCAAACTGTTAGAAACTTTAACAAACGAATAGCAGAACATAAAAGGGCTTTCAATAATAGAAAAACAGATTCTACATACGCACTTCACCTTCTAGATCACAATCATTCTTTTAACGACAAATTTAAAATTCTTCACATTCAAAATAAAGGCCTTAAGCTATCCTTGTTAGAATCTATGGAAATCAACAAATTAAAAAACACAGATATAATTCTGAATAACCAACTTGAGACTAACAGTTCTCCCCTCCTCAACCTATTTCATTAGAGACTATAAAGTGTAAACGCATGCCTAAAATAGATCACTTGAGAAAGGCAATCAGCCGAAACAGCTGTAGTGATAACAGTTAAAATAAATTTTTGTGGGAGTTTGAAAACAA